TAACAAGGTTGGCACTTGGCGGTCCTCATCGATGTTGTTTGCTAAGAAAAACTGTTCTACACGTTCCGCATAAGTTTCCCATTTCTCTTGTGTCTCATCGAAACTCTCTATCTTCCCGATAGCAGTCATATTTTCGACGTTTTCCTACGACTTCATCCTCGTCGCCACTGTCATGTATTTGGTTTTTGCAATCGAAGCACATGGAACAGAATGCGCATAAGTGCGCATGCTAATAATGTCAACCGCTGGCTCAAATACACTACAAAAACAGTATTTTGAGAACTTATTTTGAGCGAAAACGGAAGTAGCGCTTTCCATAAGTTTTAAAAGTTGTGTGAAACTATAAATTATAGCGCGCGTAATTGACGTGCGAATGGTGTAGGTATCCACTTACAAAACATTGTTATTGGATACCTGTAATTGGACACTCTCGTGATCGCGCGTCGGTTACGTGGCACATAGCGCGCGGAGAACCAATCACGATTGAGAATTTTGTTATAGATAGGATTAATGCAATAATTTGCAAACCAAGAGTCAAGAAAGACTCAATTCTACCTCACTTGGGAAGGAAAGAAATTCACTTCCTTGATCTTTATTTTACATTTAATTGTTGCTTTTTGGAGATTCTCGATAAGGATATTGTATTATCGTTGTTAACTAGAAATAATAACAATTAACAAAAAAATAAATCAATGAATACATAACAACAAATTATGTTGCGGCCAAATATGTGCTTGACAAATAGGTTATGCTTTTTTTAGAATTGTTTACAATGATCTGTTGACAAAGTTTGACGAAACCCGTAATTTGCCTTTAAAATATTATTTTCTTCTAGAGTATACACGAACGCATTTTGCTCGAATTCAAATGAAATACTTTTCACTGACAAACTCCGTTCCCCTCCAATAAAGAGAATCATTCTCAAATTTCCTAATGTAAAACAGCATCAACAATCGTAATATCTTTCGTCTATCACATTTTTGAGTAGTCACCTTTTAAGACTTGTCACCTGTTAGGACTTTCTCATTTTTCTCATTACAGTAAGATCGTTTTGATCGCTGTTCAAGATGAAGGTACAAAGTTCTTGTCACCAGCAGTTGATGCTATCAAAGGAGTAGGCGGTGTTGATCCCGTCATGATAGAATACCGAGGATCATTTGCTCTCGTCGGATACGCAGACGCAGCCACAAATAGACCAGTCTGGATTGCGCAGCAAGTGCGAGGAAGAGCCCAGGGACCCAGCGTGATCTCGTCGAGAATTCCACTCTCACCAAGCAGGCGTAAGGATAAAGTTAATCTTAAGACTTTGTGTTTGGGTTTAGCTAGGCTATTATTCAAGCAAAGTAAAGTAAAGCTTGTTCTGGTTAAGTAAAGCTTGACGTGATTGGAAAACGTGCGCAATCGTATGAAAACCGTTAATTTACGTTTTAAACTCCCGTTAACTCTCTGTCACTCTGATCGATGAGATCTTATGCAAATTTCGCTTCTGTTCGCGATCACCAGTGTGGGCACATATAACTTTAGCTAAGGTATATTTTATTGTGTAAATAGTGTCCCCAATTAGATTTTTTAAGCTAAATACTATTGACACTTAAATTAAGTCTTTCATTCATTCATTACTACCGATGATAATGCTCATTCAGAAAAAAAAATCGTTTTAAATCACGCAAATGGTAAAAGATGGGAGCACTGCGATTATTACAAACAGTCAACATTCTCGCTCGAACTTTCAGAGGCGTTTTCAAATGTCTTTAAGAAGCGATTCCCCGCCGTTACCAAGGTCTTCACCAATTGCAGAATCTGAGCGTCGAAAAGTTAGTAAAATTTATACCTGTTACATCACTAACGGATTTTCTGTATTGCTTGTTTGCTTTTAGCTCCTTCTGTGGATGTTGACGTTCGAAGTGAAGGTTGCAATGATCCACAAAAAACTCCCAACACATGCGGAATTGCTTACATTAGGGTGAATGGAAAGGACCACTCTCCTCATATCAGGGGACATAATGTTGTAGTTTTGGATGAGGCTACAGGTAATATAAGATGTGCTGCCGATTCGATAGTTTTTAACCAGAACAAAACAGGAGGTGTCCTGAGTTACTAGACATCTTGCCTCTGGCGCATATTTCTTCCTTTACTCGGTAATCAAAGCTGATAAATTAAAGAGTAGCGCAACACTGTAGTGCTACAGAGGTTCGTGTCGTCCCTGGTAGTGGTTATTGCTTGCTTTGGAATATCTTGCGGGTGAATGGTGAGCTTCCTAACAGAGACACTAGACGCATGTTCACAGTAATCCTCGTTGCTTCCTGATTGGCTGTTGTATTGCATGGTAGTTTGGCTGGTATCTCATTTTTAATACACAGCTTAGCAAGCTTCACTGCTTGTAAGTATAAGTATAATGCTGTTTTTTTCCTACGTTGAGACATATACAATAGAATAATATCACAGAAAGAAGAAATACATGTTATTCTCCGCTGTGCAATTCAATGTCTAGAACGATCGTAAGTCTTCAACTTATTCCTTTAAACAAAAGGCGCTTAGCTGTCGCGGGCTGCACAGAACTCTTTTGTAAATAGGCCAATATTTGACTTTATATCTTAGTTAATTAAATGTCATGGAACATAATCATCATGTAACTATGTATTTTTGTCTTTTGTTAAAATAAAGTGTTATTTATGATTTACTTACAGTTATTAATTTCAGGTGTCTAAACAAGACACAAATAAGGTAGATACTTTTACTTCACGTAGGTTCCGTGCTTGATGCTAAAGCATTTGATACTCATGGAGTTGGTTCGGCTGGTAACAGCCTCAGAGACTTTCTTAACAATATACAAGAAAAGTATGTAACATTTGATTTTATAAAATAACTGAGCCACTACGCGCGCTCTCATTGGTCGTAGGTGTGTTTAGATGAGAGTATGCAAACACGGTTGTGACGTTTTAGATTCGCGCGTATTTTTGAGAATTATTTTATAAAAGCAATATAGCTCTTTTTCCGTGTTTACTTAGCCTCATCTAAACACTCGGAGGGTTGGGAGAATTTCCGAAAGTTATGCAAACCCGAGATGTAGTCGAGGGTTCGCATAACTGTCTCAAATTCTCCCAACCCTCCCCGTGTTTAGATGAAGCTATGTCAAAGGGAAAAAGTGCTCTATTGCTTACTGTATAGCTTTGTTCTCTGAATAATGTACAGACCGACGGCGGGACGGACGGACGGACAGACAGACAGACAGACAAACAAACATGCCTTTATTTTATCTCGAATTTACAGAGAAGCTAAGAAGCTAATATCTTGGAGAAAAATAAAAATGTAAATATGAAAGGAACAAGAACTACTACTAAATATTATGTCTGTGAAACAAAGTCTTTCTCAATTTACATTTAGTACGAATGTCTGATAAGTTTTCTTTGAGGTGGGAAGTAGAAGCAGCTCACAAACTGTACTTGGTGAACCGTGCGATTATTTATTTCAGCGCTTTTATTCTTAACGCAGCAAAATCGTTTTGGTCGCAGTTCAAGATGAAGGTTCACGATACATGTCTTCAGCAGTTGACGCACTTAAGAGACTGGGCGCTGTTGATCCCGTCACGCCAGACTATCGTGGATCATATGCTCTTGTGGGAAATCCGCGAACGGTCAGCCCACCGTGGATTACACAACAAAGGAGACTAAGTGCCGAAGGACCTAGCGAGATAAACATAAACATCCCGCTTTCATCAAGTGCGTAAGAACGTGTGTGTTAGAGCGGTTTTCTCTTTGGTGTCGTAAAACCAATATCAAAGTAATCCGCACACGGGACAATCACAAATGCCACAGACAATCTAGCTAACCAATCAAAACTCCAAACAAATACATGTAGCTGACGTGAGGAGCGGGAAGACGTCTGTGAGTCACGATTAGTTTTGGAGTTACTTTTGATTGGATGACAAAGTCGTGGGAGGTTTGTTTTAAGCCAATCGCCTTTCGTAGAACAGTAAAAAGCCGCATATAAGAACCTAGTGGTTGAAGAATCTACAGGCTGAAATTTGGCATTTAAATACCCAAATATACATGAACCTGTTTAGCCTGGCAAAGAAAAATACGTTCTTATACAAAAAGTCACTCCGATTTTGATGGTGAAAATTCTGAATTTAATTGTATGAGAAACTTATGAAAAAAAGTTTGTGTGTATTTCTTTTCTTCGATTTACATTTTTTTCTTTTAGATTTTCACTAGAAATATTTTTTCCATAAAGCTACAGTCAATATAGACAATTTAAAATCTATATATCTTATAAAATAAATTATAGAAATATATTGGCAAGCATTTTTGTTGTTGAAAATACAAGTGCTAAACCATTATGTATTAGTAGTGCAATAAGTCTGCCAGTGGTTACACTACGATAAAATGTGAAAAATAAGGACCCATTAAGAACCTTATCAGCCTGAATCGTGAAAAACTACCCTAAGATATAAGAACCTGTTCAACCTGACCTCGAAAATTCTAGGCTCTTATCTGCGGTTTTTTACTGTAATGCAAAACCAAAGGCAATAAGAATTGCTTTTAACACTCGAGTGAAAACCGCTATAACTGTATTTTAGCAAAATGGTATTTGGTTGATTTGAAACTATTATTTTCAGTATAATCATAGTGGTTGTTCAAGACTATTCAGGCTTTCATCTTCTCAAATAGTACTTTACAATGAAAATCTACTTATTACATTAATCACTTAGATTGCCTTGGTGCTCTTGGCTCGGAAAACGGTGGAATCCCTGACGGACAGTTAAGTGCCTCTACAGAGTGGGACGCCCATCTTAATATCCCTATGGGCAGACTACGTTCTGCGAGGTCTTGGTCAGCTCGCGTCAACGATGCAAATCAGTGGTACCAGGTTGATTTGGGTAGCGAGTACACCAAAGTGACGGGTACAGCCACCCAAGGAAGAGGTGATCACCCCCAGTGGGTAACTAAATACAAGCTGCAGTACAGTAAGGATGGAGTGAACTTCAACTACTATCGGGAACAAGGTGCAGTGAAGGTTAGTCATAAGACCGAAAAGCTGATAAACTTAACTGTCAATAGACCCTTTTCGATATATTAAAATTCTAACTTTGCCCCCAGGCTTTTGGGAATAAAACAAAAGGAATCTCAGAGTATAATCAGGGATGAGTCATTAATTTCTTTTGTTTTATTCCCCCCAAGCCTCGTAGCCAAGTTAGATTTTTTATGTATTGAGAATGGTATGTTACATGAAATGCAGCAAATGTAAGCAGCGTTTGAAGTAAGCTGCGTCCTGTCTTAAGTCAGTTTTAATTTCATATTTTATTAGTCTACTGTTAAGTAAGTAATATGGTTATGAATTTGTTTCTTTTTTTTATCGATTTAGGAATTTCTTGCAAATACAGACCAGCACACGGTTGTTTATCACGTGCTCATTCCACCAATTATGGCTCGCTACATCCGGTTTAAAATACTCACTTGGCACGGACACATATCAATGAGGGCGGAGGTCTATGGTTGTCCAGGTAATTCTCTACCTGCACGTGTTACATTTAATTGACAATTACTCTAGAACGGAAGGCAGCGGTCATGCTTTTAAATAGCCAAGTGGATTGCCTCCCGCTGGTTGGGATTCTCAAGCCTATTATGTCTATTTGAAATATCTCTTTCTTTCAGTTTAAGTGGCATGCCTGAGAACTAGCTAGTTGTAGCTAAGCGCATCGACCATTAGAAACATTCAACAAAAGTTTCGTAAGCGTAATGTTCTCACAAGACTACGTGCGATTATCGCGTCAAGGACGAGCCTTAAAATAAAATGAAATTTATTTCTTGTCGACAGTGACATGCAATGTTAGTTGTAGGCGGCAAAAATCTGCACCGGCAAAATCGGGTCGCAATTATGTGCTATTGAAAAGAACAAGGAAATATAGGATAGACGACTTTTGTTGACTATCCAGTTGCTTGGTAAGCCAATCACAGTTCACGAGTCTGTCAAAACGAACTACCGTCATAAATCGAGCCAATGTTTGTAATTATTTTTTGTAATAGTAGATCGACTGACCGTTACACGACCATGACTTATAGTTGTTCTATACCAGATTTGTTGACGTATTTTTAAATGACAGGATGTCGACAAGCTCTTGGAATGGAAAATGGTGTTATCAGTGACGAACAAATCAGTGCTTCTTCACAATGGGACGCCAATCACGCCGCCGTTCAGGGCAGATTGCACTTTAAAGCAGGTGGAGGCAAGCAAGGAGCTTGGTCAGCTCGTGCCAACGATGTAAACCAGTGGCTCCAGATTGATCTAGGTAATATGTACACCAAAGTGACTCGTGTAGCAAGCCAAGGTCGACAAGGCAGTGATCAATGGGTAACTAAATACAAACTTCAGTACAGTACAGATGGAGTAAACTTCCAATACTACAAGGACGAAGGACAAGCCGCAGACAAGGTAGAGTGGGCGTTCAATTAATCTGTTCCATGCTACGTTTTAAGAGCACGCTGGTTCTTTTTCACGTAGGAAGTGATTCCAGCACTTTCCAAGATGTTACTTGATACCGTGATTGTAGCATCAACTGATCAAGAGTGTTCATAAAGACCATCAAAATCTACGTCTTGGAAAGTGCTGGAAACCGTTTGAGCCACCTTAAGGTTGTAGTATTCCAGATTACGACGGCGACAAAAAGATCGGAATAACTGTCTCTTTTGGTGACGTGAGTCCATAAAACTTATTGTTAAATCGCAAACATGGCAACTGATTTTGACCACGCTTTCTTTTTCTTCTTGGAAAGAAGAATTTCCCGTAGTCAAAGCTGGGTAACACTGAAAGAAAACTTACAGAAAAAAAGGCCGCATCGTAGTGAAACAAAAAATTTCATGTGTCTAGGACCACCATAGCCTTGTGGAAGCACATTCATCCGATTACCTTATATGAAATAGCTGCATAACTTACTCCTTAGGTAAAGAAGTTTTTAAAGTGATAGAGTCCTAACAATGTGTCATTATACTCTGTAGGAATTTCTTGGAAACGCAGACCAAAACACTGTTGTTTATCATGCACTCTATCCAGCAGTTAGCGCGCGTTACATCCGGTTTCGACCACTCGTTTGGCACAATCACGTATCAATGAGGGTCGAGGTTTATGGTTGTCAAGGTACTACAATTTGTTTTCCTTTTAGTCAATCTCCTACAATAATCAGAAGGTATACCATTTTTCGTTGAGCAAGGGTAAATAAGACCGTCAGAAATCATATGTTTATACGTTAAGACTATTACTATTAACTGGGGTGTGTCTTTTCTGGGGGTGCGGGGGTGCAGAGACGCTTCAGAATCAGGCAAACCATATTTGTGAAACTGTTGTTTTTTTTTTTCGGACTGGCTTTTAAAAAACCTTACGGTGGCGGATCCAGACGTTGAGCTAAGAGGGGGGNTGTGATTTTTTCTTTTTTTACCCAAAATAAAGAGGTAGCGGGACGGCCCCCCTAGATCCGCCAATGCCTTACTGAGCGTATGAATGAAGCAAATGGTATCTGTAAATCTACAGTGGTGGTGAATTTAAGAGTCCTTGTAGAGCGCTTTAACTTCAGTCACGACGACAGCAAAATTGGTTTTCCAAAACAATGAAACGGTGGCCATGTTGATGTTCCAAACCAATCATGTGGGAGATCAACTCTTTTCTTAATGTAAACACTTTCTTTTGTTCCAAACATTTACATGACTACAATACATTTGTATTGAATTTTTATTGAAAATAAGGATGTAGAGATGCTCTTGGAATGGAAAGTGGTGTCATCACTGACGGACAAATCAGTGCTTCTTCACAATGGGACGCCAATCACGCCGCCGTTCAGGGCAGATTGCACTTTAAAGCAGGTGGAGGCAAGCAAGGAGCTTGGTCAGCTCGTACCAACGATGTAAACCAATGGCTTCAGATTAATTTGAATGGGTACGTTACATTGACACATGTGGCAAGCCAAGGAAGGAATGCCCACGACCAATGGGTCACTAAATACAAGTTGCAGTACAGTACAGATGGAACGAACTTCCAGTACTACCAGGAACAAGGCAAAGACAAGGTGAACTAGACTTAAACCCTAAGTAAATTGTTTTCAATTTCTTAAAAATTATTTTTGATTCTCTCTATGTTCAACTTGTTTATTTCTAAATTATCAACGAGAATAGTACTTTAATTATTCATATTTTATTGGTTTAGGAGTTTCCTGGAAACACAGATCGGGACACTGTTGTTAGTCATCAACTTAACCCGCCAGTTGAGGCACGTTTTGTGCGTTTTCGACCAGTCACTTGGAAAAATCACATCTCAATGAGGGTGGAGCTCTATGGGTGTGCAAGCGTATCCCCAGGTACAGTTGGACACCCTAATTCAAATATGTCATTTCGAACTCAAAACTTTTTTTTCTAGATTTGCCCTCGTTATTCAGTCTTCGACAGTCGGCTATTTATTGAAGCTTCCTCGTAGTGACAAACAGTGGAACCACACGAATAAAACTCGTTTTAGCCTGCTTGATAGATGGCCTGGATACCGGCTTTTAATAAGCACTTAATGACTGGCCCCAAGGGAACAGTGAGTTTTGTTTCCCCAAGACCCTCAATGTTTCCCGAGGCGAAGCCGACGGGAACATCGAGGTCGAGGGAAACAAAACTCACTGTTTCCCGCAGAACCAGCCATTAAGTGTTTTGTTATACCTCCCAACTCAAAACTAGAAAAAAAAAAAANGTTTGCTTGAGGCCGGCTGGCTCACAAATTTGCCGCGGTTTTAAGGAGCACGACCTGATCACGTGCGAGTCGAAAGTTCAAGTTGTTGTTTCCCTAGGTAGTTTTGTTCGCCCTAGGGAGTTAATGAGTTTTGACCCACGACACGTGACACGTTCTCCGCCAATCGGAAAACGTATTTGAGTTGGGAGGTATAACAACAACTGTTGCGTACTTTCGAGAGTAAACAGTTTCGTTTAAGGTACTTAACGAGATAGTAAGAAATACATTGTTCTACTCTCTCTATGAGAGTGATAATATGACGGGAAAAAAAAGGGAAAGAAGGGCTTATATCCGTGGCGCAAATAAATTTTTGTTGTTTACATATATAGGTGGGCCAACAACCGGATGCTTATAAATGGGGTAGGAGAGATTTATATCCGGAATTTTTTGGAAAACCCATTAAACCTAAATGAAAAAAACTAGGGGAGCCCAAATACGACTTTAATAGGACAGTAAGGAGTAGCAGAAAAGTCATTGCACATGTTACCATGGCGAAACTATGCATTAAATATGCGTTAAGACTGATATTTCTTACTTCTCTGCTGTTGCAGACCATTGCGCGAACAGTCCATGCCAGAACGAAGCCACGTGTGTCAATCTTCAGGCAGGCTATCGCTGTGATTGTAAAACTGGTTATTCTGGAGATAACTGCGAAACAGGTGATGACTGACCACCAAAATGCTATGCTAAAATGGAGAATTAAAAATGTCTTGGCCGAGAAAAGTAATTCTGGTCACTTTTTGTTGTAATAGACGATTTGCATGATGGTGCATTTGACTACAACTACCAGAATCCTTGCTTCTTATGTTAATTAGGGAAATTGTTATTTAAGCCCTCAGTAGGGCTTCAAAATTAAAATAATCAAGAAAAAACGAAAGGAAATCTGGTAGTTGTAGTCAAATGACAACAACGTGCAAATCTGCTATTAAAACTATTTCCAACGATGAAGTTATTGATCAATCGAGTGATTGACGGATTGGGAAATACTTTCATTGATAAATTAAGGTTTTTTGTCGTGACAGGTTAAGCGGAGAACCAATAGTAGCACAGACCTGCTGCCATTGGCTCTGCCTTAACTTGGTCTAAAGAAGTTTTAAACTCAATTTCTTTGTCTACCAAGCGATAGGGAGATATAAAGAGACGACATATTGATACAAAGATCACGCATTTCCGTACTAACTTGTCAGCACGGCGCCATGTTGAATAATTATGACGTGTTTCAGCTGATGTCAGTGCTCCATGCAAGACAACGTTGATTTCTATTTCTTGAAATTTGCAGCAACCGATATACGTCAAAATTGTAGCACGCCGAAAATTGAAAAGCGAAAATAGGCGATATTCGACTGCGATTTCTCAAACATTCAATTTTTTTTTTCCATTTCTTAAAAAAAGAACTGGAATTTGGAATTCATTTCTGACGGGCTGACGTCTAGTTTTTAAAACATGGGAGGTTACCTTTTTGTTTTCATTATCAAGTAAGTTATAGGTAGTAAATGTCAGTTACAAATAATAGTTGTTGCTGTCACCGGTAGCAATAGCTAATCGAGCAAAAATATCCCGACATCTCAGACCAGTTGTAGCTACAGGATACAAGGTTCAACGTAAAATTACGTCTTAAACAGGTAAGGGCAGCTATGAACAACCACTAAATAATCAAAACTTATTGCCTTCTAAGTTACATGTACTTTAGTTTGGTTTCAAGTTCAAATATGTCAGTCTCATATGCCGGTACGTCTCCTAAATAAAGTGATTCATAATTCACTCACAGTAATTCGCAATGTTTCAGATATCAACGAGTGTGCTCCTGCACCTTGTCAAAATGGCGGCACATGTGTGGATCTTGTCGGAAGTTACCGCTGTGATTGTAAAACAGGATATTCTGGTACCAACTGTGAAACTGGTATGAGCTTAAAAATCTTCTGCTCGTCTGTATGATTAAAAGTTTCATTCTATTGACCTTTACCATTGGATGATCTACAAACTTTCACTGTGGTGACTCTTAATATCTTATCTCTCCTGGCTTATATTGAGAGTCTTTTAAAAAGTTAAGAATATTTTTTCTAAAGACTATAATGGACAGAAACTGCGAACACCATTTGAACTCTAAACCAAAACATCTTTAATTTTTACATTCAGCTTCATTAACAATGTGATTCGTTACCATCATTTTGTACGTTTGCAAGCATGTAGTTAACTACAGATTTCTAATTTTCAGACGCCAACGAGTGTGCCCCTGCACCTTGTCAAAATGGCGGCACATGTGTGGATCTTGTTGGAAGTTACCGCTGTGATTGTAAAACAGGATATTCTGGA